GCCTCTGCTCCAAAACCGCCATAAAAAAGCCAGACTATGGTTTGCAACTGCACATGGGGACAAAGATCGTACTTTTTGGAGAAATGTCCTCTGGTCTGATGAAACAAAAATAGAACTGTTTGGCCATAATGACCATCGTTATGTTTGGAGGAAAAAGGGGGTGCTTGAAAGCCGAAGAACACCATCCCAACCGTGAAGCACAGGGGTGGCAGCATCATGCTGTGGGGATGCTTTGCTGCAGGAGGGACTGGTGCACTTCACAAAATAGATGGCATCATGAGGAAGGAAAATGATGTGGATATATTGAAGCAACATCTCAAGACATCAGTCAGGAAGTTAAAGCTTGGTCGCAAATGGGTCTTCCAAATGGACCCCAAGCATACATCCAAAGTTGTGGCAAAATGGCTTAAGGACAACAAAGTCAAGGTATTGGAGTGGCCATCACAAAGCCCTGACCTCAATCCTATAGAAAATGTGTAGGCAGAACTGAAAAAGCGTGTGCGAGCAAGGAGGCCTACAAACCTGACTCAGTTACACCAGCTCTGTCAGGAGGAATGGGCCAAAATTCACCCAACTTATTGTGGGAAGCTTGTGGAAGGCTTCCCGAAACGTTTGACCCAAGTTAAACAATTTAAAGGCAATGCTACCAAATACTAATTGAGTGTATGTAAACTTCTGACCCACTGGGAATGTGATGAAAAAAAATAAAAGCTGAAATAAATAATTCTCTCTCCTATTATTCTGACATTTCACATTCTTAAAATAAAGTGGTGATCCTAACTGACCTAAAACAGGGAATTCTTACTAGGATTAAATGTCAGGAATTGTGAAAAACTGAGTTTAACTGTATTTGGCTAAGGTGTATGTAAACTTCCGACTTCAACTGTACATACACTACCAGTCAAAAGTTTGGACACACCTACTCATTCAAGGGTTTTTCTTTATTTTTACAATTTTTTACATTTTATATCAAAATTATGAAATAACACATATGGAATCATGTAGTAGCCAAAAAAGTGTTAAACAAATGAAAAAATATATTTTATATTTGAATACTTCAAATAGCCACCCTTTGTCCTTGATGATAGCTTTGCACACTCTTGGCATTCTCTCAACCAGCTTCATGAGGTAGTCACCTGGAATGCATTTCAATTAACAGGTGTGCCTTCTTAAAAGTTAATTTGTGGAATTTCTATCCTTCTTAATGTGTTTGAGACAATCAGTTGTGTTGTGACAAGATGGGGGGGTATATAGAAGATAGACCAAGTCAATATTATGGCAAGAACAGCTCAAATAAGCAAAGAGAAACAACAGTCCATCATTACTTTAAGACATGAAGGTCAGTCAATACGGAACATTTCAAGAACTTTGAAAGTTTCTTGAAGTGCAGTCGCAAAAAACATCACGCGCTATGATGAAACTGGCTCTTATGAGGACCGCCACAGGAATGGAAGACCCAGATTTACCGCTGCTGAAAGAGGATAAGTTCATTAGAGTTAACAGCTTCAGAAATTGCAGCCCAAATAAATGCTTCACAGAGTACAAGTAACAGACATCTCAACATCAACTGTTCAGAGGAGACTGCGTGAGAAAGCACTACTAAAGGACACCAATAAGAAGAAGAGACTTGCTTGGGCGAAGAAACACGAGCAATGGACATTAGACCGGTGGAAATCTGTCATTTGATCTGATGAGTCCAAATTAGATATTTTTGGTTCCAACCGCCGTGTCTTTGTGAGACGCGGTGTGGGTGAACGGATGATCTCCGCATGTATATTTCCCACCGTAAAGCATGGAGGAGGAGGTGTTATGGTGTGAGGGTGCTTTGCTGGTGACACTTAACCATCATGGCTACCACAGCATTCTGGAGCGATACGCCATCCCATCAGGTTTGGGCTTAGTGGGACTATTACATTTTACATTTTAGTCATTTAGCAGACGCTCTTATCCAGAGCGACTTACAGTTAGTGAGTGCATACATTTTCATACTGGCCCCCCGTGGGAAACGAACCCACAACCCTGGCGTTGCAAGCACCATGCTCTACCAACTGACTATCATTTGTTTTTCAACAGGACAATGACCCAACACACCTCCAGGCTGTGTAAGGGCTATTTTACCAAGAAGGAGATTGATGGAGTGCTGCATCAGATGACTTGGCCTCCACAATCCCCCGACCTCAACCCAATTGAGATGGTTTGGGATGAGTCGAACCGCAGAGTGAAGGAAAAGCAGCCAACAAGTGCTCAGCATATGTGGCAACTCCTTCAAGACTGTTGGAAAACCATTCCAGGTGAAGCTGGTTGAGAGAATGCCAAGTGTGTGCAAAGCTGTCATCAAGGCAAAGGGTGGCTATTTGAAGAATCTCAAGTATAAAATATATTTTTATTTACTACATGATTCCATATGTGTTATTTCATAGTTTTGATGTCTTCACTATTATTCTACAATGTAAAAAATAGTGAAAATAAAGAAAAACCCTTGAATGAGTAGGTGTGTCCAAACATATATGGGGGATTGGAAATTATGCAGACAATTACATTGATGGAAGCTACAATCTATCTGCCATATTAAAGCTGATCTACCCCCGTTTTTTCCCCCATTTTTTTTCTCATTGATCAAAATCTCAACCAAATATTACCCAAATTTCCACATTGAAATTACGTGGTGTGCCCAGTGGGCTATTTGTGTTCTGCATGCAGGGAGTGTGTTGGTTTACATGTGTGCATTCTTTCCAGTACACAAGCTCTATAAGGCTGATACAGTGTTGTGTGTGAGTGTGTTGTGTGTGTGTGTGTGTTTCTCCCAGGCAGGCATGCAGGGCGATGGCGGGATGCAGGCTGATCACCAGCCCTGCTAGACAGCATTGACGTCTACACCTCGGAGCTGGCTCACTGGGGAGCAATTGATTACCATTAAGCATCCATGCAGATGACCCATAAAGAGCAGGTGAGTGAGAGAGGGCCGGGGGAGAGGGGGAGAAAAGCAGATGGGGGTGGGGGCGATAACAGAGGGAGGAGACAGAGGGAGGCTGAGACAGGCAATGAGGTAGGCCTATAGAAAATGCAGAGAGGAGAGGGAGAAAGACTGAGGTAGTACTGTAGGCTAATTCATTGTTTGGCTTGATCGTAACTACCAACCTTACGATAAAAAAAGACTATATAATATATTTCTGCCAGTTTACTTTGTTGTTGTTTTCTAATGCTATATTAGTCCTCCCCAAACAATGAATATCCCTATGTAATATGTGAGATATCTTTTTAGTAGAGTGATATTTCCATTATTCTATTATTTTAAGTCATAAATTGTGACTTTGTTATTATGACTGATAAATATAAGGGAAGGGAAGTCAAAAGAGGATACCTAGTCAGTTGCACAACTGAACGCATTCAACCCAAATGTGTCTTCTGCATTTAACCTAACCCCTCTGCACAACATTAATAAAAACAAGCAATCATCAAATTCACCATTAACGTCATATTTATTGTTATTTAGTTACTCAATAAAACATATACAGATATATACAATATGCAGGAAAACAGACGACTGCACTTTACATATTATTTAAAAAACAAAACAAAAAAGAAACTCAGTTCGTACGTTGCCGTCACAGTCCTCCATCTATTGTTTCAGAAATTCAAATTCAACAGAAGCTTTATTTAAAGATTACAAGATTGCCTAACACACAGCAAATGTTCTCTTATTTTACATGTGCAATACCAATAATTTTTTTAATTTCCCTTATTAAATGGTTCTTTGACATCCCCTACTATTTCCATTGGCTGTATTGTACACCTGTGTTGGAGCCCAAGCTAAATAGAAGAGGAAGGAAGTGAAAGAGAGGAATTTCTATAAAGAAATCCCTTTTTGCAGATACCTTTTCCAACCCCAAAAACAAACAATTTATCTCTCCATCTCCCTCCCTCCCCCTGCTTCAGGGTCCAGGCCAGTTCTATTGAACCAGGAGGGTGGCCTGCTGAGGTTGTGAGGTACGGTGTCTCAAAGGGCCAAAATCTCATCAGGTTCCTGTGTCCCTGGTTGACAATGGGCTTCCCAGGCCTGAGGTTTGGTTGGAGGGGAGAGGTCCTGGTGAGAGGGCTGCTCTCCTCCCCCTATACCCCTGAGAGCCATGGGAGGGAGGAAGGGCTGGTTCACACATCCTCCATACTCTGGATGACAAAGACCACCAGAGTCCATCAATGGGTCAGTATGGGTCAGGGTGGCTCTGCCATACCGAGGCCCAGGCTCAGTGATCTATATATGCTAGTCTGGGGGCAGGCATGGTGGGTAGTACCATCTCCAGCCCACAGAGAGAACCATGGCTAGGAGGTAAAGGTACAAGGGACAGCTGTAGTGGTGAGGATGATCACAAAGGTCCCAAATACTATGAGGCTATTTTCATATCTAGAGAATATAACCAGAGATTCAACACTGCTATCCCAATACAGCCAAGGACATTTTGTATTTTTGTCTTTTTGTTTCTTCAGTTTTAGTTTTAATTTTTCCTCCATTGACATTTCTAATTTTTTCTTTACAAAAAAAAAAAAAAAAAAAAAAAAAGATTGATTTGAGGTTTTCCAGATGTGGTCACCACTGAATAGAGCCCAAGCTGTATAGTCCAGCAATGCATGAGTTAGTGTGTATGTGTGTGTGTCCAAGAGTGTGTTTGTATGTGAGTGTGTACGCGAGCATGAGTGTGTATGTGTTGATGTGTGTGTACGAGTGTGTATGGGTGTGTATATGTCTTTCTCTCCCTGAACAGACGAGAGCCGATGCAGTCGCCTCATCATCAACACCTTTATGTAATCATCATTAACACCTTTATGTCATCATCATCAACACCTTTATGTCATCATCATCAACACCTTTATGTCATCATCATCAACACCTTTGTGTCATCATCATCATTGCTGTCTTCATAGTTGTCATCTGCCTCTGACTCTCTCTCTCCCTCTCTCTTCATCCGATGTTCCCTCCATCTCCTGGGCTGGCCTGGTTGTGTTCAGGTCAGGGCCGCCACGAAGGTCCCAAAGCGGTTGGAGATGTCGGAGTGCAGGGAGCGCCAGGAGGAGACGGGCCCCCCTCGGCCCTTACTGTCCCCCAGCTCATCTGTGCAGTGGACGGACAGGCACTGCAGGTGGCTCCCCCCATTGCCCCCTCCGGGCCCCGGGGCCCCCACCCCTACTCCAGCCTTACTCTGAGACAGCTCCGACTCTGCACAGGAGAAACAAACACAGAGGGAGGAGAGGGTTAGTGAGTGGGTCAGCACTGAGGAACACAGATTTAGCATCAACAACCAAAATAAACATATTTGGTTAATATGTAGATCACACTAAAATGTATCATAAAAGCCCCTACATAAATTATATAATAATTCTCACATCCCACTCAAAATCTGTCCAGTAAAATTACTTCAATAACTCCTCTCCCTCTCCCACTCCCCATTCTGCTGGCTGAAAAAGGACACTGCTCTAAACCCATCCCCCACCTTCTCCTTGCCTGTGGTGACCACACAATCACACACACACACAAATTCAGTCCTGGTCACCCGTGCAAATGGGGAGCGCTCCTCAGTAACCTCTGGTCATGAGGTCAGAGGGCTGGGAGGAGGCTGACCTCTAACCCTGCTTGACCCAATTTACTGGTGTAATGACCCTGCTGAAGTATCGACCCCACGTCACCATGGTGTCAAAGCCCATATTAAATGGTCGCACCAAGCTTCCGGAAAATCCATACGTAGGTTTATCGAAGGTTGTATAAAAATCAGCCATGCGATTCTAGAGGGACATGGGGAACGCTGACTGTTGAGATGTATAACCCATCCGCCAAGTCAAATCGCTTGTGCCGTATAAGAAAAAATTAGCGAGACGAAGATTGACGAGGATAGAAAGTGCTAGGCTAAACTATACGTAAAAGCATGGCGTCACGCGTCATCTGCCATGATATAGACCCACAGCATACTGAGAGTGTGGGAGGGGCAGGAAGGAGAGAGGCGAGGGGAGAGGAGTTAGAGATGGAGAAAAAGGAAGAGAGAGGGTAGGTAGTCAGACTTTTACTCTCACTGGTTTCAGTAAGCCTTGTTGGTGACTGCAACATTGCATCATTTGTTTGGGGTTTGCCTCCAAGCACGCTCTGAGCATTTAAAAAAAAGAGTGTGTGAACATGGTGGGATACCTGCTGTAGAAATCTATCAGGTTATTCCCATCTGTCCTTAACATTGTTCTGCTGTGTTCCTCAGCCACCCCTGTTATGTTACTACTGCAACGACAAAGATGTTTGTCTGAGGCATTTGAGTGGGAGTGTAGCCGTAGAGACATACAGGCTCTAAACAGCTCAGACATGCTGAGGTACAGGCGTCAGAGACGGGAGAGACTATGATACACACTCTGCTCTGGGCACAGTGCCTGAACATCACACTACCACTACTCCACAGATCTGCCCACCTCACTGTTCAACAAAGACAGAACAGAAGGAGAGAGAGAAGTGAAGAAATCTGACCTCAAAAACAACAGTCTCTGTGTCACACTCTCTTTTTAGCTCTTCTCTCTCTTCCTAATCACTTTTTTGTTTCTCTCACTCTCTGTATATATTTCTCCCTCCCTTTGCTTCCCTGGAGCAGCTATGACGCAATGTTAACAACACACAGCCAGAGAAGCAAGGCCAGGGCAGGACAGAGTGGCAAAGAGGGCAGGGAAGGAGGCAGGGTGGACATGCTTTGGCCGGGAAGGCAGGGAGGCAGTGAGGCAGCCTTGCCCCCTAGCCTGTCTGGGCCGTGACCATTGGAATAGAAAAGCGGAGGGATTTGGTAAAAGGTCAGGCAGCCAAGCTCCCACATCTCTCCTCCTCCCCACAAATCACCCAGGGACTCTGGAGACTGAGCAGAGCGACGGTGGGGGAGAGAGGAAGGCAGCGGGGAGAGGGAGGTATGGGGATTAGTGGTGATGGTGGCAAGGGCCAGCATTTGCCAGAGGGCCCTGCCATACACCACTGCATGGCTGACAACCACTGGACCACAACCCCGCCTCCCTGTACTTCTTCCTACCCCCCCCCCCCCCCCCCACTCACACTCCCAACACTGTGCCCTCCAGCACCCGCCGACAGCCCATGGTAGCTGGGCACGGCAGGGTCCGCACCGGCCTGGATAGGCAGCCAAGCATTCCCCTGGCTCTTTGCTGACACACAGCAATCTGACAACACAACCACAAAACACACTGCCAACCACCACCACTGCCATATCCACACCAGCCCTCAGCTGCCGCTCAACACACACACACACACACACACACACACACACACACACACACACACACACACACACACACACACACACACACACACACACACACACACACACACACACACACACACACACACACACACACACACACACACACACACACACACACACACACACACACACATACAGTCTGCGTGGTTCCAAAACAGACAGACATGGCCCCCAGCCTCATACATGCAAGGACAAGGACTGTAAACATCAAAACATGCGCACAGCTTACACATACTCGATACACACACACACTGTCATCCACTCCCACTGTCCCAGAGCCATGCTCAGATGTGAGCTCATGTGACAACATGTTACTGACATTTATCAAAATAAAAACATTAGCATTACCAGTGATGTCGGTTCACAAAAAAAATCTATTTCACATAAAGAATAATTTATCGTGTACCATGTAGTGATTGTCCACCAGTTTCCTACTTTAAAAACTAATTGTGTTATTAAAAGCAGAAAAATGTTGCTCTTTATAATGTTTATTGAAAAAATACAAAGCTCTCATAATATTACATTTCAGATGGTATTAGTGTATCTGTGGATATTTCTAGGTAATACCGTGGGAGCCGAGAGAGATGGGATTTTGGTGGAAAATCTACACGCTACACTTAAATGTTAAGCATTATCCACGGCAGCGTATTTGTTCAAAAGTGGAAACGGCGGTGTGAAATTCTACATCACACAGATCTAAATCCCAAATCACTGTGACATTTTACAAGCTGTGGAATCTTGTTTTCAATAAAAACCTACAGGTATCTTGTTAAGGCTGTTCAATGACTCGCATTATATTGCCATGCAGCATACTGTTCATATCCACAGTAATATCTCAATGATAGACTATTCATCTGGGAGAATGAGTGTTTAGCTTCAACACACAGGGGGAATACCTAATAAAGAAGAAAACGATAACACCACAACCAACTAAGCTGAACAGCAAATCCAGTTATATCCCTAACCATATTACAATATCAGACAAGATTACCATGCCAATTTAAATGCTCCGTTTTATATGATACACCTCTATTTCTCGCCTATTTCTAAAAGTGATGTAATTCTGCGTGATTTACAGTGTGACTCCTCCACATAAGCTTGTAGAGCCGTCTCACAGACACACAGACATAGCTAGTGACGATTTACACAACAATGCTTTCCACTAGCGTGTCATGAAGAGAACATGCACAGCACAGCAATGTTTCGCAGAGCTGACGGACTGACGCTAGTACACATGTCATACCATCAGTTCTCCACGTCTCTAAACAACACTGGGAAGCAATCCTTATGTAATATTCTCAGAATCAAACTATAAAAGGTCAAAAAAGTATTATTATGTTTTAAATGCATTTGTAAATTAAGTATTATGTGCAAGTCTTTGTGCAGGGTGCATTGAAGTAAATACAAGAATAAGACTGTGTGTGTGCCTTGGCATTCACTGGCCTCGCTTTCAAAGAGCCGAAGAGTTCCAGCCGTCACATTGATTTCCCAGGCCCCAGAATCCCATGCGGTAGCCCTTTGCCCTTTCTATCCCAAGCTATACTTCCATGACGACACTTCACCTTTAACCCCGTGCTCCCCAGGGCTCGACCCCATCCTCACTGAACACAAACCAGCCCAATCAGCCTCTCCACTCTCTGACAAAAACACCCAGAGGCCTCTGCTCCTATGACAGTTAGTGAATTCAGGTCAGATTCCTTTAGCATAACAACTAACACTAAGGCCATGAGAGAACATTCTATGTCCGGGAGCACAATGCACACATCACAATGCACAGATACAAAGTTTGGTTTTCGACGATGTGAGGAGTGATGGTAAAAAAAATAAATGCAGAAAAATGTAATCCTAATTTCCACGACAGCATGCTTAGAGTTTGGACGTTTAGGTATTTTCCTGAAGGCTCACAGTGCCTAAGAGCAGGACCTGTGCTCCGGAGCCTCAGGTACTAGCTACTGCGCTAAGCAGATCGCCCAGCCGAGCAATGACAATGAGGCTTCACACTGTAATGTGACCGCTTAAAGTCAGAATGACAAAAATCACAAAATAATTAGTCCTACGTTTTCTGCTTCCAACTAGGTGTGTGGGTGTCTACAGGAATCCCTGTTTGAGAAATAATGGGACAACCCCAGGTATCTGATGGTGGCCTGGGGGGTTGGTGATTGGGGTGGGGGAATATGGCATGGGAGGCCTTCTACAAACCCCCCCACCACCACCACATGGTGACACAGAGTAGGGAGGATATAGAGAGGAGGGGGTATATTTCTCAAGCGAGGTCACAAGGGTTATTTTGCTTTGAATTTCCTCCTCTGTTCCCTGGCCTGCAACAAGAAGGACAAAAACTTGCCCAGGCAGGCAGGCCTTGGCTCGGTCTCTCCTCCTCACCCCTTCTCTAGTACACTCTCTCCCCTCAGCCATCCCCTCACACACACACCTCCCCCTCAGGCCGCAAGACGCGCTTAGGAAACTAGACACAAATGGGAACACGGGAAGTGATTTAGTACCTCCTGCATAAATCAAAACCATGTCCAGGACCTGTCTTCCATGTCATCCAAGTAGGTGACATATTGATCTACGTCTCGCTCTCTATTTTGTTTCAGCCTGTTACTACACACTCTGTTTATGTATATTTGGCCCATTTGGAAACCCCAACCACTCATGAAAACAGTGGGAATTTAGGGATTATGAGCATCTGTTAGGGAGGGGCTGGGAGGGGGGTCAAATTTACTAAATCCTTTTCCATGTTCAACTAAACAACACACCTTAAAAGAGTGTAAACTAAATGTCTAAAAGCAGTGGTGTAAACTAACTAAGTAAAAATACTAAGTAAAGTACTACTTAAGCAGTTTCTTTTGGTATCTGTACTTTCCTTTTTCTATTTATATTTTTGACAACTTTTACTTTTACTCCACTACATTCCTAAAGAAAATACAGTATGTACTTTTTACTCCCATACATTTTCCCTGACACCCAAAAGTACTGGTTGCATTTCGATGGCTCAGGCAGGACAGCGTTATTGTCCAATTCATAGACATATAAGTCATTTAGCAGACGCTCTTATCCAGAGCGACTTACAGTTAGTGAGTGCATACATTTTCATACTGGCCCCCCGTGGGAATCAAACCCACAACCCTGGCGTTGCAAGCGCCATGCTCTACCAACTGAGCTACACGGGGCTAAACCTATATAACACGTTGTCGTCCCTACTGCCTCTTATCTGGTGGACTCACTAAACACAAATACTGCATTTGTAAATGATTTTTGGAGTGTGCCCCTGTCTGTCCGTCAAAAAAACAAGAAAATCATGCCGTCTGGTTTGCTTAATATAAGGAATTTGATGTATAGCATTTACTCACAGAACGGGGCCACCCAGTGCTGAAGCGCGTAGCGCGTAAAAATCGTCTGTCCTCAGTTGCAACACTCACTATCGAGTTCCAAATTGCCTCTGGAAGCAACGTCAGCACAAGAACTGTTCATCGGGAGCTTCATGAAATGGGTTTCCATGGCCGAGTCGCCACACAGAAGCCTAAGATCACCATGCGCAATGCCAAGCGTCGGCTGGAGTGGTGAAAAGTTCACTGCCATTGGACTCTGGAGCAGTGGAAATGTGTTCTCTGGAGTGATGAATCACGCTTCACCTTCTGGTAGTCTGACGGACGAATCTGGGTTAGGAGAACGCTACCCGCCCGAATGCATAGTGCCAACTGTAAAGTTTGGTGGAGGTTTTTCATGGTTCGGGCTAGGCCCCTTAGTTCCAGTGAAGGGAAATCTTAACGCTACAGCATACAATGACATTGTAGACGATTCTGAGCTTCCAACTTTGTGATAACAGTTTGGGAAGGCCCTTTCTGTTTCAGCATGACAATGCCCTCATGCACAAAGCAAGGTCCATACAGAAATGGTGTGGAAGAACTTGACTGGCCATACTTTTACTCAAGTATGACAATTGAGTACTTTTTTCACCACTGGTTAAAAGTGATAGTTCTGTGTGGTATAATGACAGTATTAAGCCTTAGTGCCCTCAAACTCAACTCTGGACCTCAAAGCCAGTTCAACTGCATTTTTTCCATTGTTCCCCTCTAATCAGGGATTCATTTAGACCAGGGACACTAGGTGGAGGTAATTAATAAAAGTAGAATAGAAAACCAGCAGGCTCCGGACCTCGTAGGGTAAGAGTTGAATACCCCTGCCTTAGTGATTACAGACTCCCAAACTATTGTTTCTGACATCTGAATCTCTAAACTGACCTGAAAAATCTAAATATAAGGAGTCCAGAGAATGGAACTGGGTAGAAAATGAAAGATGTATTTTCTCTCTTTTCTCTCTTTCTCGTTTTAAAATGATGCAAATGACAGCCATTAACATCCTGCTTGCCTCGAGAGCGAAACCTCAGATGTTCCCAGAAAAAACGGAAACTTATTTCCATCTTGTTGGCTTTTGCTATCACTCCATCAGTCTCTCCTCCTCTCTCCCAGGAGAAACAGCTCTGGTGTCAGAACTCATTTGTCAATTTTTCAATACAAATTAAAGACGCCTGACAACTACCTGTATGCCAAATAACATAACTGCTGCTGGCGGCGTGACAACACCTCCACACACACACACACATACACACACACTAACACACACAAACTGCACAGTAGCTTTAGCATGGCACATTGTAAAGGATTATAGTCTATTTAATAAAAAAAGACAACTTGCATTTCTCACAAATAATATTAAAATAAACTCTAATAAGCTCTACAGGGATTGTTGGTAGCTATATATAAAAATGAATACTTTTCTGGGTTCCCACAGTAATAGTAGATGCCTTGTTTTAGTATTTTTCAGCCTCTCTGGCCACTGGCTTATTAACACCCTGTACATTAGGAAACGTCACATACATTCAGCCAACCGGAGCCTCCGGTGCCCCCCACCCCCCATTCCCTCCATTTGTCTCCCAGACAAACGTAACCTTCCATTCCATGCTCTATCCAAGGGGAATATTCACCACACACACACACACACGCTGAGACAAGTTTGATTTTATTTCAGCGCTCTTCCTCAGGGAAAACAAAACACCGGATGAGCTGCTATTTTGAAGAATCAGAAATCCAGCGAGCAAAAGGCCTGACACCTTTGTTTATATTTTTCTCTCTACATCAGTCACAAAGACATTTTTTAACACGCCTCCTTTGACTGTCACTGGTTGTAAATGTCTTGCAAAGCAAAGGCCTCAGTGGATACACACATACACACAAACATCTAGAAGAAACAAAATATTCAAACTAGATTTTACACACTACAAACTACAGGCAGAAACCATGAAAAGTA